CACCCTTGGTTCGAGGCGGTCTTGGAGCCTGGATATACAGACCAGGAGACGAGAACTTCGGATCAAATGGTTCCAGAATACCACGGAGACAGTGACGATATTAGTTCCTTCTTCTGCTAACCCTGAAATCTCAAAAACCTCGGCGGTTCTCACCTCCGGCATCTTCATAGGGTTTCATTTTTCCACGTTTGCGAACTCAAAAGCATCTTAAAGTGCCAGTATGGTCAGAAAAGTGACCTTGTTCAAAACGAACACCAACACGTAGATCTCCGCTCCCTCAGCATGCTCAGAGTTTCATCCTCCTGCTCCGCCGGCAGGTCTGTCCCGCTCGCCCTGGAGGACCCGAGCGGCTCTGCCAGAGCTGCTTCACTTTTCTCCCGCATCCCACATCCTCCACCGGCGTAACTGTCCGCGTCTTGGCCGCAGAGCCTTAGGGCTGGCGAGGCGTGAGGCAGAAAGGCAGCACCTTCTGCCCTCCCACGCTGGCTGTGGGGGCGCGGAGCCCCAGCCGCGGTGCGTAGGTTGGGGGGGGGCACGAGGGGCACCTCTGACTGAGCCAGTCTGACACAAATGGGGAAGAAGGGGAATCGACTCGGCGCGCCGCACCGACTGGATGGCAAAGTGGCTTTCTGACTGGAAGGCGCACTTGGAGGAGAGAAGGAAACCTTCACCCGCCGCCCGCTCGCTGCTGCTGCTCCAGCTCATCTTGCTTGCAGAGACGTGAAGCTCCTAGATCCACCCGTAAGACAAATCCCTGCTTGTGGCTCTTTCTGAAGCAGAAACCGGTGGATCTCCCAGCCGGATCACCTCCGATTCCATTCACTGACCGGGAAAGCATTTTAAATAGACTTAAGCCTCGTGTTACCATGGCATAGCCTATGTAACTTTGTGCCCTCAGTGAGCTTGTCAAGTAGCAGGTCTCGTTAGCTCCGAGTGCCAAAACATATCCGTTTACCAAACCGTAACACTATCGGCTGGGACGCCTTCCCTTGGAAAACGATAAGGGGTATCTTGTACAGTACATGTAAACACGGTCGTGTTTTCCTACAGGCTCAACTCTTAAAAGCATCACATCCCCTCTCCTCTTTCCCCCTCCACCCCCAAAAAACTCAGTCTTAAGAGTAAAATCTCCATATGCCCTTAGTTGATTATTCAGGTATGTTGTTTGCCTCTGGCTACATTTTTTTTTTCCCCCCTCTTAAATTTTTTTTTTTTTGCATGATTATTCATAATCTTTCCAATGTGCATGGATAATGAATATATCTAAATCATTAGCTTCCTGGGTTGGGGGTAAGTAAAGCTTAGTCCTGCCTAAAATTTCTGCTTCGTTTCACATTTGTGTCCAGTGGCTTATGCAAAGAGATGTCTGTTCGCCTTAGGCGAGAGCGCGGCTGCTGAAATGGCCGTGAGGTGGGTAACGTAAGTCCCGACACGGCACAGATTGAATGAAGCCGTTGTAAGGGTTAATCCCTGGCAAGCTGCAGTCCCACCACCTTGCGAGAATACCATGTATACCTCATGGACTGTGTACATTGTACATACCTGACTGTTTGGGGGTTTGTTTTCTTGTTTTGTTGTATTTTGTTTGTCCTAATAAGAGGTGTCGAAGAGCAATTTAATGTGAATTATTGTTGGCAATACTAACTTGACAGAATCATGAGCATTAAGAGCAGGGCGCTACAGCTCTCCGTTGCACTAAACCTCTCATGATTGCTTGACATTTGTATCTGTGATACAGTTTAACCCTTCTATGAAAAACAGTACCTTTGTATATATTGGTAGAAAACTCTGCCAGAAAAGCTAAAAACACTATGTCCATCCTGTAAATATGTATATGTATGTGGAAACCTGGATGATAAAGTCTGACTTGTAGAAAGTTTTAATAAACTTGGTTTCATAATGTTCGTCCCCATTTCTTTCGGTGTCTCGAGGGGAATGCGGCTCAAGCGTGTTTGGTTTAATCTGAAAAAAAAAGGATTTGGCCTTGAAGAGGATGTGCCCCATTGTGCCTGAGCCGCTGGGTCTAAGCCCTGATGCCCATAGCTCTGCCCGGGAGGAATCCCCATGGAGATGAGTGAGGACAGGGGATGGCTCGTGCCTCTTGCAGGATGGGAAGGGCTATATGAAACGAGGTATCCTATTCATCTTGATAAACGAAGGGGAGAGGGGCTACAGCTCTGCCTCTGAACTTCAGGAGCTCTATTGCCTTTCAGCACATGCATTCATTTCCACCCGCGCCCCACGAGCAGAAAGCGCTGTGGCACCGCGGGGCTGTCACCCTGCACCTGCGCGCATGACGGTGGGATGCTCGAGCCGGTGGAAAATCACATCTCGGGCGTCTAAAAGTGAGTAGCCAGAAGCAGAGGCAGCGGTCGAGAGCGTCGGGTTTAACCGGGAGCCGGAGCTGGTGGGACAGAGCTTGACCCGGCTCCCGGGCGGCAGCGTGGGCGCCACCCGGTGCTCCCGTTAAAAATTAAGGGAAAGACTATTAGCGCTGCTTTTCTTTGTGGTGAGAAGAGAGTATAAATAGCAGCAGTATCAAGGTTAGAGAATGTGCTTTCCTGAAAGAGATCAAGCCACCCTTGTAATCCACCCGGAGCGGTGAGATCATCGCTCACAAGTAGAGAGGAGGAGGAGGAAGAGAGTCTTGATTTTTATTTATACTTTGCCTCATGTTTAACTTTGTCCTTTTGCTTGAAATCTGTTCACCAGAGCAACTGCTTCCAGGCAGCTTTTTGGGCTGGAGTAGCTTTTAAATAGGCTCTGCTTTTAGAAGTGGAGTGGAAAGAGAAAATGAGAGAATAGGGACCTGGTCAGTGATGAGGCAAAGTGCACCGAGGACTTTCATTGGGCACCTTGACTCCCACTCCGAGAAAGCAGCAATCTGTGCAGTAAGCATATTTTCTTAGCACTTGCTGAGTGAATGTCAGACACCAAAATATCTCAAGTTACTTTACTGATGTTATTCTTGCAAGACTTGTAAAAACGCATGCGCCACATAGCCTGGCTGATTAAATTACCCCCTGCTCTACCACGCTTTCGGGCTTGGACAGAAGCCCTGATGCATCCTCTTCAAACAACGGCGGGAGGTTCACGCTTTGACGAAACCTTGAAAACTTTCAAACCACTTCTTTTTTTTTTTCCTTGCAGTTAAGTCACCTTGAGTAGGTAAACGTGTAGGTCATCCCATGACTTTATTTCACACGAGCTACGCTGCAGAGCAATTAAAATAAATGCCAAATTGTAGTAACATCTGCAAGCAGCCTCTGTGTTGCTTTAGGGATTATAATGCAACATCCGTTTGTACAGCAGAATAAATTGCTATTGCTTCGTAACCCCATCGTTTGTATTGTTGTATACAAAGTTTCAGAGCATGTTGAAAGAACCAGCATATTAAGTGATTAAACTTTGATGGTGGGTGTGAGAACTTTGATTTATGCAATGCATACATTTCTTTTTGAGAGAATCATAATTTGGCTATTTTTAAATGGACCTTTTGGATGCGGACTGTGTTAATCTCTTACGTATTTCTCAGAGCTGGTCACCATTTTCGTCTTGAAGTTGCAAGATATTGCTGGCCTCTCTGAAAAGTGCTGAGAGCCTTCAGTCCTCCTCTGTTGGCTGCTGAAAACACCAAAAAAAAGAGTTTTTTCATTACATCCTGGGCTCCATCCTAAACCAGCATCAAACCACCTCTCAGACAGGATAAATCTTATATCCTAGATATATATTTTTATCAACTCTTTGGCTGCATTTTAGGCATCAGTTCAATAATTTTCTTTTTAAAGTAGCACAGCAGAATTTATAAACCAGCTTCCTCTCAAAAGCGCCAGGTAAAACAGCCAACTCAGCAAGCTCAGGTTTAAGGTCAGCATCTCTTTGCCAAGCAGGTGATACTGCTGAGGTTATTTGTAGTTATTTAAGAAGGATTGGTGGAGGTTCAGTTCTACCTAGGCTAAAGAGTGCCCTGATTTTAGGAGAACACCTTGGAGTCAGTCGAAGGTGCTTGTTTATCACTGAGTTATTTAGGAAAGAAAAGGGGGAAAAGAGCAATTTCTTATAAAGATGTGTAAGACGAAGATTCATTGCGCTTGGCTGGATGGCAAAGCCTGTGTGCTGCTTTTCTCTAGCTCTGCTTTAATGTAGGGCTGAGAGATAACTTGAAAAACACATTTTATTTGAGCAGTGCTGAGTGCGTTCTGCCAAGCAAATCTCTTCAGATTATCTCTTTATACAAAAGCAGATTTTTTTTCCACTTTTTTCATGCTATTGCACTCTGTCAGGGAAAAAACCCAACATTCAGCCTTATGGCATTGCACAGCTTAAGCAGCACAAAGAAATATCCTATGCAAATGCTTCTTACAAATACAGTGCTTTCCTAGCAAGCATTAAGAATAGCTTGACATATAACCACGGTCTGAATTAATTCCTTGCGAAAAATGGCTTTGTTAAATGCAACATCTCTCAGAACTATTGTTGGTAAAAGTACTGTGAAATTTGCAACAGTTCTTACCATGATTCCTCTGTAACTTGCAAAATCCTGGTCTCCAAGTGAAATCCAGAGTTCAGATTTCAGCCAGGATCGATTTTTGTTACAGCAAAACGACAAATCCTTCAGGATATGAGTTCACAGCAGGAACTTTTTTTTTTTTTAATGAAGCCAGCTATTTAGAAAATGCCTTAAAGAAAACTCATTAGTTTTCATTGCACTGTATGTATTTATTTACAGTATTTAACCAGCTAAACAAGCTAATGCGCAGCACTTCATTTCCTAATTTGGCTTTGAAGCCGGAGCAGCAGAAGTATCAATTACACGCTGTCAAACGCAAAACATTAGCATAACTGTATGAAGCAATCATGTTTCTAACAACAGCAAGCACTGCCCAGAGGACGAAAATAAATAAAATTCATAGAGCAAGAGGTAACGCTTTTCTTTACGGCAGGGTCAGGGCTGGCTGATCCCAAGGGACGTTCGTCTCCGGGGCTGCGGCGGCAGCTCCGGCGCTGAAGCGCAGGTGATTAATCAGGCACTTGCTCACCGAGGGCACGGTCTCATCACGGCGGGTGTGGATTTCTGCATGCAACTCCCCCTGTTATTAATGGGTAATTGACGTGTAATT